ACGGTGTACCTGAGGACAGATGTAAACGGTCTTTCAACGTAAAACTTCTGCGCTGCACGCACTGAATTGAACGCTTGAGGTTCACGAAAATCTGCCGACCCTCAGCGACACCCTCTGCGCATCCGTCAGAGACCAAATCGTACGTTTTATGTCTAGTAAATAACTCACTGACTGTCGAAGCGAAGTTATCGTCTGCAACTCGCGTCAGCACCAGTGGCATCTAGCCCAAAACAACGAGCGTCGTACCCAAAAGAATCATGTTCGCAGCTTCTTTCGAGACATCGGATCCTGGGGGCCACAAGTTCAGGCATCGCATGACCGACCCAAGAAACCCGCTCACCCGAAATGTTCATCGCAATCCCGAGGTCGGCCTTCTTGAGCGCAGGCGAATCGTTAACACCGTCGCCAGTTCTGTGAAGCCCATCAGGAAGCTCCGAAACGTAACCGAAACCGAGGCACTGACACTCCAACGATGTGTCCCAGAGCTTGTGCGCGTTTCACTGACGTAGCGGACAGTCAGCAAATATGCAGCATAAAAGGCGCAAGCATCGTATACGACCCACCAATCTCAAGCTTGTGTTTCGGCGACGTCCGTGCGAACACGATCTCCTCCTTCTTGAAGACTGTAGTACATGCAATGAGCATGAGGACGCGACCCAGGGTAAGTCACGCGACACACTTTGGTCCCACTGCCAGCCCTGCAGGTCGTCGATTTCGTCCCCGTGGATGACCACCGCGTTCACCTCGTCCTCGTATACCTCATCTACCGACCGACCAGTGCGCGCAGCGAGCGTCTCACGCGTGTCCCCAATTATCAGGTTAATCTTCCGCGCGATGGCTTCGGCCGTCTTCGGGTGGTCGCCTGCGTTGTGATGCATATATCAGCACTCAGCACTCAGCACCCCACTACACCAAGCACACACCGGTGACCATCATGACTTTAATGCCCGCAAGCCTCAACGTCCCGATCGCCTCGCGCACACCGTGCTTCGGGGGGTCCTCGAGCGAGACGAGGCCAGTAAAGCAGTAGTCCGTCTGCGGGTAGTCCGTGCGCGAGAACTCGTGGTCCGCGGGAAACTCTGCGCCCGGGAGGAGGAGCTGTGCGCAAGCAATGACACGGTGCCCCCGCGATGCCATGTACTACATGCACTCCGTGAGCGGTCGGTAACGAAGAGACGGGATCAGGCCCACGCACGTCGTACGCCTCGTCGTAAGCTGTACGGAACTCGTCCGAAATAGGCTCCAGCACACCATCTTTCAGATACGTCGAGCATTTCGCAAGCACGCGCTCGGGAGCGCCTTTGATGTACGCCGAGAGCACGCCGTCGGCATGCGGTTTGTTCACCTACATTCCCCAGACATGAGATCCCCACGGTGGAATAACAGACGGACGTAGGCTCACGATGGTAAGCGCCCACTTGTTCGTCGAGTTGAACGGCACCTCAAACACCTTCGGGAACTTTTTCTGGTGCTCATCATAGCCCCCGCTGAGAGAGCGGCCCGCAAAGCGCGTGAGCCCCGTCTCCGTTGCGTCGCCCAAGATCTGCCGCTGGTCGAATGGAATGTCTGTCTTGTCAAACTTGACACGCGAGTTCAGCGCGCATATGTCCACGAGCTCCGTCATGCCCGACGCCTGGAGCGAGAACGGCGCCGTCGACTCGTCATCGTTGTTGGACTGGAACGCAGAGTACATCCGTCCGCCGCTCCATAGGTTGGTCACCGTCATCTGATTTCGGGTCAACGTGCCGGTCTTGTCTGTGGCGAGTAGTGTCAGCTGCGAAAATTTCAGTACCCACAGAAGAAACGAAGAATGAAATGGCGGATACCGCTCCCAACGTCTCGACACCCTGCAAATCCTTCACCAAAACGTTCTGGGCTGCCATGCGCTTGGCGGCGATGGACAACAGTAGGGTGACCACCGACGGCAGACCTGCACCACAGGATTTAGTCTCTTGAGACTGGAGAGCGGTTGATGCACACCTTCAGGAACAAAAGCCACCAAGATCGAAACGGCAAACGTGACAGTCGCAGACGCTTTACCCTTGTACACAGTCGAAATCCCCACAGCGAAAAAAACAACCGCGAATAGGATGGCAATGATCGAAATTTTGATGACAAACATGCCGCTAGAGAACAATCAGGCGCGAGCGGCATTGTAGAGGACACGGACGAACATTTCCTTCGCAAGTGGACTTTCATTCCCGCTCTCCCCGCCCGTAAGTGACGCGATCTGGCCGATGAACGTGTGGTCACCAGTGCGAACCACAACTGCGAAAATCAATGGATGATTCCCACATCCGGACGGTACTACTCACCGCCCCAGGCCTCGCCATTGATGATGAGGGTCGAATTGAAAGCCTGTCATCTACTTTAGCACGAGTAATAGTAAGTTACTCGGGCCACTAACCAGGTTCTGTGCCTCGACCGGACGTACGTCCGATCCGTTGGCGAGGGGGAATCGTTCCTGCGGCTCGGACTCGCCAGTAAGGCTGCTGTTGTCGACTTTCAGGTCTGTCGCCGCGAACAGTACGAGGTCCGCAGGCGTCTTGTCCCCAGAGCGCAACAGGACAACGTCCCCCTTGACGAGGTCCGCGGCAGGAATGGAGATGATCGAACCGTCGCGTACTGCACGGCACGAGGGCGGGATCATCGCGAGGAACGAAGCGAGGATTGCCTCGGACTTCTGCACCTGGTACCCTGGTCACGCAAACTCGTGAGCATTGAGAAAAACGCGCAAGGAAACGACGTGCAGTCGATGAACGCGTTGAGGAAAGCGACAGCAATCAGGATACCGCCAAGGTACGTGTTGGCGAAGTTCGCGTGAAAGTCGATACCAAGCAGCGCGTACTCGAGAATGCCCGCCACGATAAGCAGGATGTTGAACTGCCGACTGGGTATCAGATACGGAAATGGTGGGCAAGCGGGCTTACCATGGTCAACAGGCGATCAATATACTGCGGAGACCAGGTCAGAATAGATCCAACCGCCGAACCACAGCGGGACTGACCTTGCGGAGCGCCGAGCGTTTTTTAGGGGGAGTGAGGATATTGGGACCGTCCCGCTTCAGACGCGCGGCGGCCTCCTCAGCAGTGAGACCTTGAGAAGCACCAGGGTCTTTGAGATTGAGAGAAGTTGACAGCGCGTCTGCGAGGTTGCTGAGCGGGATGCGGTGCTCCGTCAGGTCGACGTTGCTCTCCTCCTCCGGCTTTTTCTGTTCAAGATGATCATATCCCGCGGCAGCGAGGTCTCTGTCCTCCTGGGTCAAGGTGTGATTCAATTCGACACCTTTTCGATGGTCGCCGGTCAAACAACGCTCGCGATAACGATGGCGCCGACTCGCCTTTGGGGCGGGTCTTTTCCTCGATTCCCTGCTCTTCCTCGAAGGCGACAGCACGGGGAGCGACGTTGTCCTCCTCATTCGGGGGGTCCATCGTCGAGGGCACCGTGTCGGGCTTGGAGTCCATAGCACAAGGAGGAACGAAGATAAGGGATCGAGACACGTTCGAGAAGGGGCAGATGCGGCTCTCTTGTATCCGATCTCCGAATAGCGCGCCGGGACGAATGAGGATTTTTTGCCAACCAATCGTTTACAACGAGCACGTGCACAAGACAGAAACAAACGATTTTCGCCACATTTCCATTCGCGGTTGTCGCTGTGCAACGATTGTCCTGGTGGCCCGCTGGCAAAAAGCGCGCAAGATTATGTAATGCATAGATCCAAGAATTCAGAATTCATTTGCCAGTTGGACAGTTACGAACGTGCAGGGGTTAGGGAGAGACGATTGCCGGTCGCGACGAGCAGAGACAGGGTTGTGGGGCAGGTGCTACAAACTCAGGAGCGGGGTCAATTGCCTGATAGAAAGAGAAGCTCAGTGTCGGTGGCGTACTCACCCTGAGCTATTCCCAGAGGACCTCCTTATGAGATAAGGCATAGAAGACAGCAAGTCAATTATGGTACTTGGGTGGCCGAGGCCCAGCGAGGCAAAGGGGCGCGACCGAAGCGGAAGGGCCTGGTCATGGCCCTGAGGCCGCAGGGCTCGCAGACTCATCAAGAAGTCGTTTGGAAGAGGACAAGTACATGATGAGTTGGCGCCGCGAGCCCAGTCAGCGCCCACCACTAATCGCGGCACGGCATTTCGGCACATGCCGTACTCGGCAAGCACATTTTCGGCATGTTCAAATCACAGAAAACATTAAAAACTTGGTAAAAACTGCCCGTCTGTCGACATCCCAATTTGGGAACCCTGTCGTGTCTGGGACGTAACTTAGCCGGACCCTTATCACGGCGAAACACCACCAGCATCAGACCCTCGCCGCATCGCGTCCTATCCTAATAATCATGCCCGCCACAGCGACCTGATCCGCCATCCACGTCCGCTCCGCTTGATACGGCTGAGATTTTGCTTCTGATAGTTTTCTCTTCATCACTCGAAGCTCGCACATTTGCGGGATCGAAATACCACCGTTAGAAAATTATTTGCGGGTTCTATTATTAAAAGCCTTAAAGTTAATAAACTCGCTGTCGTGCTCCGGAATATCATCCGATCCCAGGTCCACAAATGGGAAATCATCCAGAAAATCGAGTTCTGGAAGCATAGGCCAGAGGGGCGCCGACGGTATCGAAGCCAATTTCTGGTGTCCTAGTAGTTATGACTCATTTGTAGCTTTCTATGCTTCCGGAGTTGCAGGAATGAATAACGAGTAGTTCATACTTGAATATAATGCATACAGTGGAACAGGAGGACCCTACAGACGTCCAATACCGTTACGGCGAGAAGAGGTGCAGGAAGACGTCTGATGGTGGCGGTGTTACGCCGTGATCGGGCAGGTCCGGCTAAGTTGGGTTCCCAAATTGCAGTCGGGCACTAAATTCACTGAGACTATGTAAAAACAAGTCAATCGAGAAGCGCGGACATCGATCGTCTGAGTCGGTCCGACAACATGTGACATATCAGGATTCCTCGCCTTTTACTAGGGAAACATACACCATGTACAAAAATTGAGCCAACCCAGGTTCGAACTGAGGACCGCCTGTGAACATTGTAACATCCCCTACATGTTAGACAGGTGTGATAAACCAACTACACCATTAGCCCACAAATTTCCGTCACTCAGAATTACAGAAGGAAACAAACGTATGTAAGTATGTTCACTCGTCATAGGGTGCCCTGATTAGCATGAAACCAGCCCCGTCTCCAGCTCCCAATACGCCCCGCAAATTGTCGGAATCCACAAACTCCGTCATACTGCGCACCCTATCACCCTCGCAGTGGAAGATCATTATATACTCGCTCGAATACGGCGCTCCTGTGGCCAGATGTCCCTCGCCGACAACGTGCATCGCTACGGAGTCCGCGGTCTGCACAACCTCCAACGAGGGATGGATTCCGAGCTAGGCCATAATCAGTACTAGTCGTGCAAGAGTTGAAAAGCGGCACTTCCACCAACGCACGCACCTTCAGCGACCCAAACAAGCTCCCGAGGGCTGCGGTCTGCAAGAGGAACTGGCGCTTGTTCCGCCGCAGCGCGCCTAACGATACAGGCAGGAGGCGCCACGCAAAGTCCTCCGTCATCAACGACTCTAGACCGGAGAGATCACCCTTGCAAATGGCGTCGAGGAATGACTGCGCAGTCTCCATCGGGCTGGTGAATGGGACTGGGATGCGTTGAGGGGACATGTAGTATGCGCGATTGGTATACACCTTTCACTTTTGTGGTCTTTATGTGAACCGCAGCAGGCGCTCGAGAACCGACCGCGACGGCTGCCAGACTAAATGCTTCAGATAGCGACGTCCGCAAATGAGAGCTCCGGTCAATTCGCCATACACGGAAATCTCGTCCATTACCGTCCGCTGGGCTAAAGGGAGCTTGGCGCCTGAATTACGCCTTTGGAAAACGGTTCAACTTGAAGTAAAACTCCTACTTCTACTAGTAGTAGTCTTCCTGCAACCTGTCTAGGGCTGCAAACGAACTTCGGCTGCAAGTCTGCCACTAGGAGTAGAGCAAGGCGAGATACCAGCGTACAAGCGGAGGGGCGAAGAGCAATAGGCTCAGAATATACATTGCTGAGACTATTGAAGCTATTGAAGGTAAGCGTTGCGGATCACAACTTGAAGGAAGCCAAGTACTGTGATCCTCTCCGAGCTGACACTCGAGCCTCGATCGAGATGGGACGCATTTTTGAACAGGCGCAACAGTAACATCCCTCAGTCGGGACAGAGCTGAAATACAACATTCACGTGACCACGGTTGAACTTGACGTTCAACTTCAAGTTCGCCGTCTCCTTCTGGTCACTAACTCGGCACAAATTCGGGACGGAGTTATTACATAAGCTTCTGACCCTCTTGCTAGTAGCCTCGAGTTCTGAGGCCACTACGCGACCCGACCCGACATCGACTGGGATATATTCGAAATTTTGTCAATGGCCCGCGGAAGTAGAAATAGTAGTCATTACTACACCGTGACAGATCGAACTGTACCGTGACAAAGTACACAACTTACAGATCGGCTCGCGACCGTAAATGGAGTACCACGGGTACCGGTTGCAAGACACTTCCAGCTGTTGGGCCCGCAGGCGAACTTGAAGCCCGGACCGTAGTCTCCCCTAGCAAAACGCTAGCGCGCAGGCAATGTTACTATACAGGAAGCTCCCCCAGGGAGCTCTTGAAGTTCAGCGCCTGCGGATGTCTGCTCGAGTCGTCGTCATGGTCCGAGACGCTCTCCTGGGACGTCGCCAGCTGCACCGTAACGTGCGAAGTCGCCGCACCACCGGCGACACGGCTCTGGAAGACCATGTCCGACATGTTCACCGACGCCTGGAATATCGCGTCGTGGCCAATTTGCATCCGAGAATTCAAGATCTGAGTCCAAAGTCAACGAACGCATCCGGCACTCGTCCAGACACGAGCTTGTACGTGCCGCCATAATGCTATTCGAATACACCTTCGAGATCCAGATGCACGTCCCGAGGTGGTAGTTGTTCCCGTTGTACTTGACGAACAATGCGAGATCGATGATGGCGAACACTGCACAGGGAATCCCAGTCTCGATCGTGACCTGGAATTCGAACAGGTCAACAATCGCTCACGGAACAGCGAAGTTTCTCCGCCACAGGTGACCAGGACTGACTTTGATTATCCGATTAACCGCCGCGTGCGTCGCGCCGCGGAAGCCGGGCTGTCGTGCCCTGAGGAGATAGTATACGGTGCCTGCGACGATGATCAAATCTGCCAGCGCGGTTGCGCTCAGCCAAGCCTATATGAATGGCATAGATGAGTGTGCGGGTACTCATGGACGAAGACGAAGAAAAACGCACCACAGGGGGCTTCATAGATTTGAATGTGAGTAGCGAGAACCGTCCCGCGTTGCTTATCTGCACGCCGGTCCATATCCCAGCTCCCCACTGAAAGAGTGTGATCTAGCATGCATGTGAGTGCACAAGAAAAAACTGCGCGCGGCTGGCTCACCGTTCCAATAACAATGGGGATGACCAGAGTGCCGCCGCCGATGACATATATCCGCCAGGCAAAGAACATCTGGCCCACACATCCAACTACACAATACATGTGTACATGTCAGCACTGGATGACATCAAATAAAATGAAAACAAGTAGAACACGCACTTGTCGACCCCAACACCGGGACACTGAACCACGCCCACCCAACCTCATCCAGCATGGCCGGGTTGCCCCACCCGGCGCCGAACGTCCGGATCGTATTTCGTGTATCGCCAAATGTCTGCAGCGTTTCCGCGATGATCACGAAAACGACGACGAGTTTATTGGCCCGCTGGTCCTTGGGGAACGCGAGGAAGTACAGGTCTGCAACGCCGACCACCGCGTTAACAAGGCGCTCGTCTCAACTGAAGGGCAACTCACAAACTTGAACAATAAGGACGCCAAGGAGCGACCAGTTCAGAAGGGTGCCCACAAACTGGACCCGGGAGTCAACAAGCCTGAACCATGCTGTGAATCGGTTCTATGATACACACGAGGGGAATTGTCCTATGATGGATTGGCAGGTTAACCCCACGGAGACGACGATAAGATAAGAGGTGCACCCACAATTGCCCAATATCCATAGTGAACTCCAACGCCAGACTTTGTAGCGGAGGTGATATATATCTTGGGGAGAAACTTGGTCTGAACACTTCAAGACGATCCTGATGCAATCTGTCGTCTGCGAATGAGTGAATGCGGATGTGTTACTGCCCCAGACAGCAATGGATCGCTTTCAATATTGGCTCTGCAGCGGGCAGCGCACGGGGTCAGTAATCGAACGAGCGACTTGGGAAACGGAGACAAACGATGAACTAAAGTAGGGAATCCGAGAAGGGAAAGTTTGGTAGCTGTGTTTGAGATCACTCCTGGTTTTGAGACTTGCGGCAAAATAACATGCTGGAGTCCCACGAAGATGAGTCCTGTTGCTCCACAGGCACGCGCACGATGGCCGCGAGTAGCCGCGGTGCTTTAGCGCCGTTCCGCGCGCGCTGTTGTTGCGGACTTAGCGCTATCACATCCGCAACAATCGAACTAGGTTCCGCGGAAACGTAACAAAGATCATTGACTGAAGATGATGTTGATGCCCTAGAGCCAAGCTATTAGTCGCCACATCACTGTTGACAGGAACGAGATCGGGAGAGAGGGAACGATCATGACCAGCCATGCGTCTCGCGCCGGCATTGTGTGAGACCAAGCATAGATGATTGATAAAAGTAATACCATACGGTTTTGGTTTTCACAAAGTTGGCGAGATTCGAGAAGAGTAAGAGATGTCAAGTGTTCAAAAAGCTGTGCTGTGACCTTTGCTTGAAGCAGTATGGCTCTCTCCACAAGCTATAAGTAGTTCAAGTTGCTGCGAGCTGTGATTTATACGGATTTGGAGGCGCTCGAATCGTTGGCACTAGCGGGATACGACATGCTAAAACTGGAAATGATGCAGTTAAGAAGGAATACCTGAAACGGGTCGTGAGCGTTCAAGCGGGGGAGTGATGTTCATCATGATCCCCCGGTTACCTCTGCAAAAACATGATCGCCATTGGCCTCCGACTCTCCGAGGTTCGGTCAACTGCACACATGGTCACCCAGTTATGGTAGAAGGATTAAATCGTTTTTTGCTGTGACTCGCATTATGTCCTGGGTAATAAATTTTCGGTCCGGCGTCCAGTTCCACTGAAACTGCACAGGCCCCAAGAGCCTCCGCCTTCGCCCCCCGTCTATTGTCGTGCATCATTCATAATGCTATCTGCAGCTTTCTCCGATATCTGTATATTTATCGTTTAGATATCCATTTCGACGGGGGAAAAATCAACTTTGGCACATACCATGTACGTCGGCGTGGTTACAAAGTAGCCGGGCACATTCGGCCACGAGCTCAAGTCCACAACGCGTAGCCGATCCGTCCCACGCACGCGGAACTCGCTGTCCAACACGGCATCCGGATCTACAGCTGCTCGTCAGTTCACTTGCCCCAAGATCGGGCGTGCAACACCGCATACCGTCCGCCGTGCCGATGGGGTTCGTGCAGCACGCGTGGTGCCCAAACACATGGTCCAACACGTGCTGAGTGAGGTTTGCGCCCTTAGGGGGGAACGCCTGCTCTTCGACAAACAACTCGATCAGCGAGCCCTCCACCGTCGCGATGATGCGCTCCAGCCCCGTCACGAGCGCCTGCAGGTCAACCTCTCCCCCCGGCGCCTCGAAGTGCCGCTTCCCGATGTCGAGTGGGTCCTGCGGGTGCGCACCCGTGAGGCGGACGAACCCGCGCGAGGACGGGTGCGTCCGGAGGACGACCGCGCTCATCCCGTTGGGGTTCTCCACGACCTGCTGTGCAAAACCTGCGCGTTGCGGCGGGTGTAGTCCGTCAGTCGGCGGCCGTGCCAGCGATGATTAGAAATAGCAGCTCGCCTGGGATGATGCCTTCGAACCACGCGGGCGCAACGTATGTCATGGTGTCCGGCAGCTCAAGCGCGTCGTCCGACTTGGTGATTATGGCGTGCAAAACGGGATTGAACGCGTAGACGTTCTGGTGGTCAGATCGAATCCAATCGTCCAGGCACGGATCCTGAGTGCGATTTGACAAGAATAGGCACCCTTC